CTCCCCGCCGAGCAGGGAGCCCGATGCGGGACTCGATCCAGGGACTCCAGGATCATGACCTGAGCCGAAGGCAGTCACTTAACCAACTGAGCCACCCAGGTGCCCGAGCCTCTGGTCTTGAATGATTGTGGCTGAAATGTCTTCCCTTTATGTATTTGATAAAAACATTTGAGCATGCGCACACATTGTTAAGGCCTCTCCTAAGACTTTGGAAGGAACTCATGCAAGTGAGGGGCACTAGAGCTGATTCATCATTAATTTCATTGGAAAGAGCAGTCTTTTTTTTTTGTAAAGATGGGGCACCCATACTGTAGAAGAGGTCATTTCCTCAAAAAAGGGAAGGTGCTGGGAAGACAAAAGGACAGATGACCTACAGCTTGGTCCTTTCAGTAGTCACCTCCTGCAGCTGCAGTTTCCCTATTTTTTTTTTTAGGATTTTAAGTAATCTCTACACCCAATGTGGGGCTCAAACTCATGCTCCTGAGATCAAAGTCATATGCTCTACCCACTGAGCTAGCCAAGCGCCCCTCAGTTTCCCACTTATCAGGCTTTTGGCCTCAAATCCCCAGGTGATCTCCAAATCTGATGAACTATGCTGGACTTCAAGGGGGCTGTGTTGACCTCTTCTGTCTAGACCAGAGCCAGCCAGAACAGCCTGCAGCCTCCAGCTATCTTTTTATAGACCCCCTCCAGCATCACCTTTGGCTCTCTGAGGTAAAAGGGTTCTTTCTTCTAAGCATGGAGGTGCTTTGGGCTCCTCTCAGACCCACAGGAGAGAAAGAGGATTTTGCAGAGCAGTTCAAAAGGAAAGGGGTCAAACATAGTGAAAGCACACTTAAGATTTTGATTTCATTTTGCGTAAATTTTACCTTAAAAGAAAATTTTTCAGAAAAATAAACTGAAAAATTAAAAGAGTAGGAGAAGGAAAGGGAAGCAAGCAAGTCAAGAAAGGAAGAGGCTGACAGAGCCAGGGAAATCCCCAGAAGGAATTCTCTGTGGGAGCAGGGCTTTCTTTCTTTCCCTCCCTGGCTCTTGGTTTGGCTTGTGCATCCCTGACTCCAACCCTTCTGCAGGGATGGGGAGGTGGTTCGACAGGGAACACTGAGTTTCCACCGGAGCTTAGAATGTGAGGATAGTACTGACCTCTTGCAGTAGCTTATGGAAATGTAAATTTGGTTCTTGTTCAGAATATTTATTAGATACTATTATTATTTGTCCCTCCAAATAAAATACACATATAATTGGGAGGACACGACAGTGTTCTTGATGTTATGATTGGCTCTTTGGTTTTTACTTTAAATTAAACTAATGTATATTGTATAACTACTCTGCCAGGCACCACATGAGTCCTTTTTAAACACATCTTATTTTCATTCACAGAATTTTCATCATTTTTATAAATTAAGATACTGAGTCCAGAGTGATAAAGTAACTGGTAAACTCTTATAAAGTAACTTTTTACAAGAGTCTGAAGTTAAGCACATGTTTTAACATCAAAGCCAAAATTCCTTTTGTTACATCATGCTGCCCAGTTTATAATTTGGGACTTGCAAGGTTTTTTTGTTTTGTTTTGTTTTTTCGAGGGAGGTGGAAGAGGGGCAAAGGGAGAGAGAGAGAAAGAATGTTTTTTTTTTTTTAAGATTTTATTTCTTTATTTGACAGAGACACAGTGAGAGAGGGAACACAAGCAGGGGGAGTGGGAGAGGGAGAAGCAGGCTTCCCGCCAAGCAGGGAGCCTGATGAGAGGCTCAATCCCAGGACCCTGGGACCATGACCTGAGCCGAAGGCAGACGCTTAACGACTGAGCCACCCAGGCACCCCATGGGAGAGAGAGAAAATCTAAAGCAGTCTCCACACCCAGTGCAGACCTGATGTGGGGCTTGATCTTACCACCCTGAGATCATGACCTGAGCTGAAATCAAGAGTTAGACGCTTAATCAGCTGAGCCACCCAGATTTGCCACCCCAGGATTTGCAAGTTTTTGTGAGGATTTATGAACAGTCATCAAATCAGTACATGTAACTATAATTTCTTCACAATCTCAATCAAATTATGTAATGAATTAGCAAATGACTTCTTTTCTTTTTCCTTTTTTTTTTTTTTTTAGCCAAAAAAGAGATTAATGGCTCTGTGTTTTGGAGAGGCAAAGAGCCCAGAAATTTGAATGAATCCTCTCTCAGGTGAGATTTTGTTTGGAGTATGTTTTTAACTTGCTGACCAAAACTTATTTAATACTTCATTTTGCTCATTTTAATGCTTTTTCTCTACTAATGGCTTTGGACTGAGTTTTGTTTATTTCCTATATATTATAGTGAGGAAGATATTTTGGGAGAACTTTCTTCTAAATTCAAATCCAGTTAGTTTAAATAGTAAAGTATAATATTTCTCATATCAATGGAAGGTGTAGATTTCACAATATAAATAAATAATTGACTAAAGTTAAATTAAAAAAACATTTATTGAGTTCTTGTTCCGTGTAGGGCACTATGTTAGGCCCTGTAAGAAACAGAAAGATGAGTAAGGCATAGTTCCTGTCCTTGAGAAGCTGATTCTAACTAGAGTATGTGACATTTGCACAAACATAGATAATACAGAGTACACATGCTAAGTGTCATCAGTGAGTTTGAGCAAATTGCCAAAGAGATTTAAAGAGGGGAAAGGTCATATTCAGTTTTGGGGGGAAGTCAAGATGTCAGAATGACAACTGATGAAAAAATAGTGTACATGGAGATGGAGATATTGCAGCTGGAAGGGATAATAAAAACTATGAGGCAGGGAAAAAATGGAACGTGTATTAGGAAAGGGAAGCAGTCCATGGCAATTTAAAAATAGAACAGGGGGGCGCCTGGCTGGCTCAATCTGTAAAGCATGCAACTCTGGATTTCAGGGTTGTGAGTCCAAGCCCATGTTGGGCATTGAGCTTACATAAAAATAAAATAAATAAAGTAAAATAAAATAAAATAAATAAAATAAAATAAATAAAATAAATAGAACAATACCAGGTATAAGGTTAGAAAGTAAAACTGGGCCCATACTTGAGACAGTCTTAAAAGTCCAGGTAAAGACTTTATATGTCATTTCATAGGTTGTGAGGAAACTATTGATAAATAATCAGTGTGCTTCAAATGGATGGAAGCAAGGAGAAACCACAGATTGGTGGGAAGTAATGAGAATCTGAATTGGTCTAGTGGTAAAGGGAATAAAGAAAAAGGGATGGATGGAAGAAATATTTCAGAAGCAAAATCTGCAAGACTGGCAATGGAACAGGAGAGAGATGGGAGAGAAACCACTGTGGTTTCAAGCTGGGGTTACTGCAAGGTGATGTCTTTCAGAGAAATAAGGATGGCAGGAGGGATGCAAACCCAGGACTGGTTTAGACAGGTTAAGCTTGAGGTACTAGTAGGCCTCAGCTGGTGGGGTTCATCTAGCAGTTAACATTTCAGTCTGGTAGGCAGGACAGAAGTCTGGGTGTAATAAAAAGGAGTTTCGTAGGGTTCCTGGCTGGCTCAGTCAGTAGAACATGCAACTCTTGATCTTGGGGTCATGAATTCAAGCCCCAGAGAGAGGACAGCACTCTCTCTCTCTGTGTCAAATAAATAAAATCTTTTTATTTATTTTTTAGTTTTTTTAAAGATTTTATTTATCTTTGCAAGAGAGAGAGAGAACAAGCAGGGGGAGCAGCAGAGGCAGAGGGAGAAGCAGGCTCCACCCTAAGCAGGGAGCCCGATGCGGGGCTGGATCCCAGGACCCTGGGATCATGACCTGAGCTGAAGACAGACGCTTAACCGATTGAGCCACCCAGGCGCCCCAAATAAAATCTTTTTTAAAAAGTTTAAAAAAACCTAAAAAAAAAAAAATCTCTCTGTTCCTGTCAGTGTTCTCAAGGCTTTGGAGGTTCTGATTATACTTGAAGCTGTAACATCAGGAAAACTTAACTGGCTAAAACAGGGTTGAGCAGTAAGTGTTGTGGTTTGCAGTGCAAACCGTAGCTCAGAAAGCACTCTGAGACCCCTTTGTAATGTTGGGAGTTGGGGAGGGACCATCAGCCTGCACCGCTGAATTCCCTCCACCAGGGTTTCTCAGTAGGGTGCTATTGGCATTCTCTGTGGGACCACTTGTTGTCATGCAGAACTCCTGCCCATTGTGGGACCTGAGCGTCCCTGGCTCTTGTCCACTACATGCCTGTGTCCACTACATGCCTGTAATGCTCCTCATTTATTGTGGCAACAAAAAAACCCACCAGCACACATTTCCACGGGAACCATCCCTGCTAATTCCATCTGTCAACACAAGTTTCTTTGCATTTCCCCGGCCCATGCCCTTTCTCCCTTCTCTCCGCAACCCTCTCTCTCACCTTTCCTAGTAGTATCCTTGCTCTCCCTATGAAAGTCTGTGCTTGGGTTTTTAGGGACACCACAGTGTGATAATGTAATCATACAAATTTGAAATGGTTCCTGCTTCAGTGGGATTTCCATTTTAATAGGCATCCAAGCCAGAAGCTCAAGGAAAGAAGCTCTTAGTAGAATTTTGTTCTGTTGAGGTGAAACTGACACACAGTAAACTGCAATAAGTGTACAGTTTGATACATTTTGTCCTATGTGTACACCCATGAAAGCTTCACCATTATTAACATCTTTCCCTCCCTCCCTGCACTATGGCCTGGAAACTTTTTCAAGGCAGTAAGCTGGGGCAGTTGCTAGGTCTCACCTTGTTTGTTTCCCACCTCTCTGAGATGACCGGCTTACATTGCCTGATGTCCAGTGTCTTAAAAGCTGTTTTGGTTTTTTTTTTATACGTTTTCCCAGGCTTTGTTTTTTTTCAGGTGAGAGGGCATATCTAGTCCCTATTGCTTCATCCTGGCCTGAAACAGAAAAAAACAAACAAACAAAAACTAGTAGAATTTTAATCTTTACACTAGTATATATGGAAGGGAATTGGGATTGGTTTCAAATCCTTCCTGGAGCCAGTTCCAGAATTTTCATAAAAGAGATTCCATAAAAGAGGGCAGCAAAAGGGAGGGTGTGGCTAGGAAACTCTTTTTCCTTTGGTAGGCATAAACTGTTTTATGTGGTCTATGTATTTATTTTTGGAGGCTTGCTGAGGAAGCCTCCAAAATGTGGAAACTATAGAAGTGGGAAACTATAGAAGATCTTAGGGAATGAGGGGCAGCAAAGCCCGCCCCCTTCCCAGACTACAGTAATGAAGACCCTGTGAAGCTCAGAAGGACCCCAACTATGCCTACACATATGACTACTATTCTGCCTTTTACAAGAAGATAAAAACCACACATTTTTAGAAACCTTTCTCAACAAAGTTAAATATCCCAAACAAGGTTAGAGAGTCCTTTCAACAGCAGAGCTCATTTCCCCAAGCTCTCCTGCTGTTGGAGGTTAGATTGGCTACGGGGCTTGAACCTGCCTGTCAGGAAGCCAAAATCTGGGATGCTCATTGCTGCTTTTTAAAGAGTCGTTCCTGCTTTGAGATGAGTACACACTCTCAACGTGTGCTGGCTGGGCCATGTGAGGAGACAGCCCAAAGCAGGGTTTGGGAATAAAGGTCACCTGGAATAAGAGCACAGATCCATGTTTTTTTCAAGTCTGGCCTCATGCCAGAATCTCTCAAGGGTTCATGGAAAGTTCAGACTTCTGGACTTCATCCCAGACTACTGAATCCTAAGCTTTAGGTCTGGGACTCAACAGTCTGTTTTTGGTAGCTCCCTAGATGATAATGTTAGCTAGCTACCAAGGTTCAGGAAATCCCGGGCTAAGTAGTCAATTGACTCCTGGATTATTGAGATTCCTGAGTTCTACAACCATAATATATCTATAATCCATCAACTGCTCTCTGTTTTCACTGTCAATCCTCCAGTGCAAGCAACTGTCATCTCTCACCTGGGTTTGCAACACCTCTCACTGCTCTCCCCGTCTTCACTCTTGGTATCTGCTGTGGTTGGAATGTTTGTGCTCCTCCCAAATTCCTATGCTGAAATCCGAACCCCCAAAGGTGATGGTAATGGGAGGTGAGCCTTTGGGTGGTGCTCTAATCTTGAGGGTGAAGGCCTCATGAATGAGATTAGTGCTCTTAGAGAAGAGGCTCCAAAGAGCTCACTAGCCCCTTCCACCGTGAAAAGGCACAGCAGGAAGGAACTGGCAAGGAACCAGGAAGAGGGTCCTCACCATAAGGCAACCACACCAGCACCCTGATCTTAGACTTTACAGCCTCTAGAACTGCGAGGAATACATTTTCTGTTTTTATAAGCTACCCAGTCTGTGGTCAGACTGCTTTGACAGCAGCGCAAACAAGCTAACACCCTGCCTCTCCACCCCTGTCTGAATCCATTATTCACCTTAAAGCCAAAGTGACTTTTCCAAATGTCCCCCCCCTTTTTTTTTTTGCTTAAAACCTTTCAGTAGTATCCCATTGCCCAGAAAATAAAACTTTTTACACATCTAGACAGTCCTGCAAGACCTGGCCTTTGTTTCTGTCTCCAGCTGCATCTCAAGTCACTTCACCCCTTGCTCACCACACGGGCTAGTGCACCTCAAGCTTTTCCCACCTCTGGGCCTTTTCACTTCCTTTCTCCTCTTAACACTGCTTTTCACATGGCTCACTCTTTCTCATCCTTCAGGTCTTAGCTTAATTGTCCACATCTCAAACAGGTCTTGCCTGATCTGTCTGAAGTATATGACCCTCCAACAGACGCACACAGGTTTTTATCAGAGTACTCTGTTTATGTCATAGCACCATCATAAACAGAACATATAGTTATTACATATCTATAGCTTATTGTCTGTGTTCCCACTAGAATGTAAGCCTCATAAGGGCAGGGACCTAGATATTCTTTTTTTTTTTTTTTTTTTAAATTTATTTGACACAGAGGGAGAGACAGTGAGAGAGGGAACACAAGCGGGGGGAGTAGGAGAGGGAGAAGCAGGCTTCCTGCTGAGCAGAGAGCCTGATGTGGGGCTCGATCCTAGGACTCTGAGATCATGACCTGAGCCGAAGGCAGATGCTTAACCAACTGAGCCACCAGGTGCCCCGGGACCTAGATATTCTTGCACATGGATATATTTCTAGTGCTTGGCCTAGTGCCTGGCACATCGTAGCTGCTTCGTATTTGTTGAATGATTAATCATGTTCTTTACAACCTAGCCTGGCCTGTATTATATAGGCTTGGGGAAGCATGATTTGATCTAAATCCATGAAATAATAAAGCATGTTTTAAAGGAGTTGATGCACTTCCATTGTTGCCCTAAGTGCTGCAACTTCTTTGTTCCCGGAGGAGGGGTCTCTCTGTTGTTGCAGGACACTAAGTAAAACTGCCAACATGGCCTTCGACACTAGAAGTGGCGAGGGAAGGCAATACCACTAACAGCCATCCACATGCTCTCAGACTCAATATTCTTCATTTCACATTTTGCCATATTAATGTCCCAGGTTTTCTAGACCACTCTGATACTCTCCTTGTTTTCTTCCAATTTAGAAACATAGAAGAGGTTTCTAATTAATGTTTGCAGTAGTCATTTTAGGTTATCATGAAGGTCAGAACTCTGTTAGAAATAGCAGATATCCAACTTAGGTTAAAAGGGGAATTTATTGGAATAACTGGGACCACTCAGGTAATTCAGCACTCATTCAACAGATATATATATAGAAATAGACCTAAATACAGACACAAATGTATATCTACCTACCTACCTGCTTAATCTGGCACACTTTATTTTATTATTTTATTTTATTTTTTTTAAAGATTTATTTATTTATTTGAGAGAGCGAGAATGAGAGAGAAAGAGTACATGAGAGGGGGGAGGGTTAGAGGGAGAAGCAGGCTCCTCGCCGAGCAGGGAGCCTGGTGCGGGACTCGATCCTGGGATTCCAGGATCATGACCTGAGCCGAAGGCAGTCGCTTAACCAACTGAGCCACCCAGGCGCCCCCCTGGCACACTTTAATTACTGGGCTCTGTATTCAGTTTTAGATGTGTAATAGTGGGTGAAATCAGCAAAGGATAGAAGCCAAATACTAGAATGCAGGAATGGTAAGAATGAAGTTGACACTGAGGCATAGCTGGAACTGGGGACTTGAATGGACATAGGACTTTGTATCCTCTGATGTTGGTAGATCAGCCTCATTTTTTCTCACTGAATACCATGTCTTTCATGGGGCAACCACCTGTCTTAAATTCACATTACAACTCCCACCACCAGACAAAGGCTAACTCATGCACTTTCTTGCATCAAATTTAAAAATCCCGGGAAGGTCTCTGATGCCCTAGCTTGACTAAATGACTCACTGATGAAAAATATCCACCCCAGCCAAGAGGTCAGAGACTTTAAAAACACAGCAGCTTCTGTGTGTTCCATGTGTGGAGGGAAGGAGTAGTTTCCAAATAAGGGGGGTCAGGGGGAGCTAGGTCTACTCTCCATCCTGTCGTTTTCTAACACTATCATCTCCATAATTAAACACATGAGTCAAAAGCGTAAACAAAAGGCAGGCTAGGATAGAAAGCAGTAATTAGAGGACTAAAGAATGGTATCATGTACAGAGCTTTGAAACACCTCTAAGGTGTAAAGTTTCAGGCCTAATTATGAGAAGCTGCAGGTCATAAGAAGGATGCAGTTATCTTGGGACATCAGACTTACATAAGTATGATTACTTTTCAGGGTAATAGTAAAGAACAAGTCTTTTAACACCTGAGGGATGGAAAACAGACTAGTGATCTCTGATAATGAGATTCAGTATTTAGGTTTCTCTATCTTTAGTGTAGCTCTTCATCAGTGGATGGTTCCAGGTTCTCATATGCATTTTACAGGAGAAAACCCAAGTAGATATTTCAAGTAGAAATAGCGTATTGTGACCTACTCAAGAGTTCCCTAAAGCCGCAGGGGGGAAAAAAGACTGCCTATTGCTTGCGAGTGGAAAGAAACAGAGAGGAAGGCTGAGGTCAATAGAACACTTTTACAGTGTCGGCACAGAGGAAGATTTACATCAATTTGAGTTCACCTTGAATCATCCATGAGGAAAAGAAATAGTGACAATGCTTCGGCCTCCGTCCAGGTCTGTCAGGCCCATACCCACCAGGGTGGATTCTGATCTGAGTTTACATCTATGTGTAGCCCCTACCGATATCTGGCCAGTGAAAATTTAAAAGTGGGTTTTCTAACCATAGTGCATGGCAAGTAGAAGGATGAGCTTTTGGAGAAACTGATCTGTTTAATAAATGGAAGTAGAGCTGACAATCCTAGTGGAATGAGAATGTGCTGTGCTTAATTGTACACCATTAGGAAATCGGAAGGAGGGGGAAACCAGAAGAATGTGAACCTTATATTATTCTCTAAGGATAGGAAATAGAAGAGGGGAACTGTGCTATTTCTCTCCACGTAGTACATAAGCATGGAGCTCTGCAGCCACACTGGCTGACTGAATCCTGACTGCTTTGGGATCTTTAGCCTTCCTAGGCTTCACTGCTCAGGGGTAGAATGGAGCTCATGACAGCTCCTTTCTCAGAAGTGTGATATGTGGGGCTCGGTCATGCACATGTAAAGTGCTTAAACTCTGTGTGGCACTTAGTCCTTATTAAAACCCTTTGTTATTGCTGATTATCAGTAAGTCAGCCACTGAGCAATAATTTATTCAGCATCCTCAGAATCCCTCATCAAACCTTGGGATGGAATAATTTTCCTCTTTTCTACTCTCACTAATAACACTACTGCATTTAAAAAATAAAAGTGCTGTTGTGCAATAATTTGGCACAAGGTACCATCTATATTAACTTTCTTTTTTTAATATTAATTTTCTAAGAATTTCTCGCACAGTAGGCTGCTGTAGTTCTCTTAGAGGAGCAGTCCTGTGTTTATGTAAAT